TTATCCAGACCTATTAAATTTCTATGTTGCATTTTTTAAACCACACCAATTTTTACTTTTAAAGGTGATTTTGAAAAACAAAATTGTCAATTTTAGGTTTCAAACTTTTAAACCACACCCAGAATATATTCTCCCCCTATGGCCGGATGCAGATGAGTTGAGTAACGTATAATAGTTTGCGATGTAAAATTAGGTATGTAAATGTTCTGGGTGGCACGAAAGTGTGAGAATATGAGATATCCGTGTTTTCATTGTTACTATTATAGTATGGGTAGTCACAATTCATTTATCTTCTAATTATCCCGTTTTTTCCTTGCATTCTAACAATGTGAGGGTAAATATAGAGTTGGTGTACAAATGCAGTGCATACGGTGGATAAATATGTTGATTAGGTAATTGAATGATATACAAAAACAGTGGTTTATGAATCACTCTGAGGATTCGGTGGTTAATAATTAGGCAAGTGGAAAACATACAAAAAGAAGTGGAAATTAGGTGCAGTGCATATTGTTTTGCATACGTACCAAGAGCTTAACTAAATGGAAGACATACATGTACTTGAAATAACATAAGTATCTGTTCTTCTAAATCAGAATATAACAACTACATCGCAATAACAATATAAAAGTACTTTTCCTACTACCGAAAAGATGAAATGCACAAAATAACATTGGAATTCATATCTCCTAGTTATCATTCCCTTGATTCCTTCTTAGCCAACCAGCTGATTCATCCCTTAGTCTTACCACCTGAAATAATAACAGAAGTAGAAGCTAATTATTAAATGTAAAGCCTCAGTTGTGTTAATAAATAGCAATATTCTCCTGTATTTGAAATAAAAAAGGGAAGACATATACCTTCTTGGATTGCAAAATGAGGACAGTATTTATAGGTTCAGTTTAAGATCCAGTAATGGTTGAAATGCTTTTGGATGCCAAATTGCAAACATGCGAATCTGTGGTTCAGCTTCATATTCTGATCCAATGATGTATACTTCTGCCATGAATTTGATGTTACAGCATTCTTTCAGCATCTGAACTCTCTTGTCATATGGAATTTTTTTAAACTCGAACGGTGGCTTACGAAGCAGAGCAAGAGCAGGTCCATGATTAAGAATGACCTTTGCCTTGTGATTTCCTGATTCACATTCAGCCTACAGTTCATAGAATAATCTGAAGAAATATGTAGATTAGATGCATTTGGTCAATGTATAGTATTTTTATAATAGGGAATCAAAAAGCAAAGGTATTTGGAAATACTCAGTGTCTCCAGGGAAAACTTCACAGGTCACAGAACCAAGGTCGAATTTGACTATTTTGAGTTTGCACCGATAGAGTATCTGTCATATAGTTTGATATAGGAGAAATACAAAAATTAGAAATAGGTGTTTTTGAAAACACTGCTACTGTTGAAAGTCAATTTGAAACTTCTTTTTATTTGTCAAATATACTTCCTTGACAAATGTATAACAGAGCATAGAAGGTAATGATAGTTACCTCTGTTTCTTCTTCTCCTAAAGGCAGCTTGTTGGTCAATTCCAATAATGAGATTCTGGGCGGAATGTCACGCCGAAGGTATCCAAGCCGCTCTTTTGACTTGTAGTCAATGATATCCACAGGCAGTCTATTAGGAAAGAACCTAGAGTGTTTTGAAAGTTAATTTAGACTGCTTCTAGGAAAAAACATGCAAAATATATTAAAAGTGAATATATAAATATAACCATTTACCTGTTCATTAAATCTTTGGTCATCTCATTGTACGAATGTACTATAAGACGACTGCCAGGAGATGTTACGAAACAGAACTGTGGAATATGGTCATATTCGTGCATGTTCCGGGTGAGTGTTGTTGCTGTCACAACCAAAGGATAATGAACTTCTTTGGCAGTAGCACTTTCAATGAAATCTTTAATTCTTGTGCCAATATAGCTCACAAGTGCTTTGTTTCCACTAAAAAGTTGGCAAACGGAGTATAAGTATGATTATAGACTAATCTTGATTCAGTAAGACATTATAGTAACTAATTATAAGTGGTACCTCATATCTTCAAGATAAATCCGGAACATAGATGTATCAGAATTGACTTTAGCTGGTTCGGTGATATGCGTTACACATCCTGTGATATCTTAAATATGTAAATATTTTAGTTGTTTTGATCTATATGATGTTTGGAATATACAATATTTAGCACATCAATTTCTAATACAACCTGTTGAAATCAATGGGTTAAGTATAAACAATGAATACCTGAGAAGCAAGGTGGAAGACTTGTTGAAGAACCACTACCATTGAAAGGACTTTGAAAAAAATAATCATCTGGAAAATGCATTGTGCTCCGATATTCGATCATTGCTTTGAATGAAGATTCCTTTGTAAAATACAATCTCAAATTGGAAGGTGCAGTGCGACGCTCAGATCTAGCTGGTATGACAGTTGGATTCATCATGGTATAGAGACAACCAATCTCAATGTCTTTGCAAATATGAGCAGAATCTTCATAGGGTACATTTCCTTCCATAAGTTGTCCCTAAAGGAGTTAAAATGTTACAAATGAGCTTAAAGTAACTGGTCTGTGATAAGAGTAAAACCAGTAGGTGTTCAATGTTTATAATTTTACCTCTTTATCTAACCAAAGCATATGCATGGAGGTAATAGATCTAGTTCCATCTGACTCACATTCTGACCAAATGTTTAACAATCTAGCCATGAGGAAACGGTTGCTTGTTCCAAGATGAAGTTCACGAAAGGTTGTGGATTCAGCCATTACATCTAAAACCAAAAGGGAAACTGAGTCATTATATCTAAAAGCATTCGGACAAACCTCTATTCGACTAATTGTAAGATACCATGTGGGTCTTGCGGCAACATTTTCCCTTCTGTTGTCGCCGAAAATAACAGATCGGTTGTGATAGAGTTTTGGGGCAGCAATAGCTTCTTTTTCCAACTGTGAAAGAAGACAAAATGAGGAAAACAAAGGGAAAAGAAATAGAAAGAATAGAATAAATATCTAATACTTGCCGTAAATTATGTATGGGGTCGACTACATGAGATGGGGGACCAGAACAGCGGCAGCTGCGGGGTAAGTAATCTAGGGTTTCCCCTTTCGTGAAAACCAGCTTACCAAGGAGACAAACAGAAGCAGCTCTTTTTCGTTTTGTACAACCTCTTTTAGCTGATGGAGGTATTTTATATGGCCCATTTTGTTCCTTATATATCTGAATGGCGACCAAAATTTGATTGGGCTTTGGTTTTGGCCCATTTTATTATAATGATTAACAGGCTTTTAAGTTTTGGGGTTGTTTTTGTGAATAGTAATTGAACATTATGGGCTATAAAGCTTTTTTGCGGTAACATCTCATCAGAACTTGACTGAAATTAGTTTGAGGACATGGATAATTATTTATTTTGGTGTAGATTATTCGCCGGAATCAGCTTCATTACTACTAAGAGTACGTTACCAAAGCAATAAATTGAATACTTTATTTAAATCCTCCAAAAATAAATACTCTTGATTTAATGATTCACACATTCAAAACAATAGGTTTGAGCATAGTGAAATACTTGATGATGGGATTTCTCAGATATAGGAATTTTGATTGCAAGAAAAGAAAGATCTGTAATACGAAAGACTATTAAGCAATTTTGCAACAGCTTATCCAGACTTTTTACATTTCTACATTGCATTTTTTAAACCACACCAATTTTTACTTTTAAAAGTGATTTTGAAAAACAAAATTGCCAATGTTAGGTGTTATCCTTTTAACTTATTGATGATACGATTAAATTAAGTGATTTTGATCAAAAAATGGTTGTTAATTTTAAGTTTCAAACTTCTAACCTATTGATGATACAATCAACTTGTAATCGTTAGACCACCAAGTAATTTTGCAACATCTTATCCAGACTTATTACATTTCTATGTTGCATTTTTAAACCACACCAATTTTTAGTTTTAAAAGTGATGTTGAAAAACAAAATTGTCAATTTTAGGTTTCAAACTTTTAACTTACTAATGATACGATTAAATTAAGTGATTTTGAAAATAAAATTTTCAATTTTAAGTTTCAAACTTCTGAGCTATTGATGATACAATCAACTTGTAACCGTTAGACTACCAAGCAATTTTGCTTCTCCTTATCCAGACTTATTACATATCTATGTTGCATTTTTTAAACCATACCAATTTTTACTTGTAAAAGTGATTTTCAAAAACAAAATTTTCAATTTTAGGTTTCCAACTTTTAACTTACTGGTGATACGATTAACTTGTAACCGTTAGATTGCCAACCACTTTTGCAACGGCTTATCAAGAATAAATATGTTTCTATGTTGAACTTTTTTTTTTATTTACAACTTACGTTGCATACGGACATACTACATATTTGCATTTCATCATTTATTATCTAGTGTAACTCACTTGCTACCCTAGTGCTCACTAATCAATATTACTACCATCATCCCAATCTCAGCTACCCCATCAAACATGAAAGATGTCAACTAAGAATTGACTCAAACACGATGAAATGATCAATTGAGAAAAACTTTAAGTGGGGCAGAACTAAGGAAAAAGGACCAATAGAAAACAAAGGGATCATGAATTTATAATTTATGAGACAATTCTGAAAGAGCATTTGGCTTGGCAGATCAAAGGAAGTTATAAATTAATAAGATTGATAAACCATACCAAATGGGCCATAGAAATTCAGCTCGGGTCTGAATGGGCATGCAACCACGACCATCTCTGGCATCAGTATGGAATTTGGAACCATTCCAAAAATTCAAAACAAATTTAGTAATAGTAAAATTAGATATGTATAGGCTACATAATGCCCAATTGAAATATTCAGAAAAAGCTTACGAATCTAAAATATGTTCACAATCCTAAGTCCAAGTGCAAACCAGCAACATTCAGTCCTTAGCAAACACATGGCAAACTAACTGGAACAAAACAAATGCAATAAAAAGATCCTAGCTGCAACAAATTCTTTGTTGGCGTTGCAATCACTCCAGGGGCATCTTCCTCTTCAGTTTGTTGTCTCGATTAGCATCAGAGTCCACTGGTGTTTCAATCGATTTTTCAGTAGCAGACTGTCCAGACTGATCAGAGGAGGGTTGAGAAGATGCAGGCCCACTCGCAATAGATGAAGATGATCCATCTTTGTGAATCATATAACCTTCTCCCTGAGATTATAATATCCAAATGTAACATTAGCCATTAAAGAAATTATAATAGGATTCTTGATTGGGAAAAAAAGATTACAACCTAGATCAATACTGAGATAGAAAAATGATCATAACACTTAATTCTTATTTATTGAGGAAAAATAATTGAAGGGGTATCTACTGACCTTTGGGGTGGGTTCTAGTATTCTCAGCACAGTAAAATCAGCTTGGGAATCAGCAAAAAGGTTGATCTTGAATTTGACATGGAATTTCTTGGTCAGACCTACCAATTGAAGCAATTCATCAGGTGGCAAGTCATCATTCTGCCCATTTTTCTGGAATAGTTCATGACCACTCAATCCAAAGTACCGCTTCCCTTCATACTCAAAGAGTACAAATACTGCTGACTTCAAATCACTTTGAACTTCAAGTTGAACACGGTATCTACACAAATCACGAATTTCAAATAAAATTAATGGAAGCAATTACAGTTCAATGAGGAAGAATAATGAATGTCAACTAAGTAGCAGATGTTTACTTGGCAGCCTTGGCTGATATTCTCTTGTTGCATCTAACACAATAGTACTCATTTTTCCTTTGTATAGGCTTCAAAACACAGGTAGGACACCCCATATAACACCAGCCTGATTTAATTCCAACAACTTTGCATTCAACAGCAAACACCATTTCCTAATACCAAATTCATTTACTATGAGTCTCTAATGAAATGAAAATGCAAATAGTATAAAAAATATGAAAGACCATAGAAGTAACCTCCTGGTCTGGATCCTCTTGTAATTGCAAAAGTTCAGAAAGTGAAATAACAGGGAATTGAGGAGGTGGCGGTGGTTCCACAAAGACAGGCAGCTCTGGTTGCACAGTACTGATTTGAGGAATAAAAAATCAATAATTAAACAAAAACTAAACAACAACGCAATGTCATTGACACAGTAGGGTGATGAATACCCGTAGCAAAAGCTTGACAGCTGGAATATCGAGGTTACGATACACAACTGTTGACCCTGATGATGAAAATGATAACTCATCTACAAAAACCAAAAATCAGTCTGGTCTTGCCACTCATAACATTATTAAACGTAAGATAGGGAAGAAATAATAAGGTCGCCTTTGAATTCACCCACACTAACAACTGAAATGACCAGTATAGTATGATCATCACCATGAGCATCAATAATCTTATCAGACTGTTGAATAACTCTTCCCCAAATAACCACTTTGACAACATCACCCCTACATGAATTTGAAATAAATATCTAAGATGTTTCAAAAACTGATCTTGCAAACAAACATGAATGGCGGAATTGCAATAATGCTCCATCAACAAATAAAAGAAAAACCAACCAAATAGTGAGCAATCAAATTCAACAGAAGTTTTCTAAATGCCTTTCATGTCAAAGATATCAAAGAAACTCACTCAATCAGTTGCAATGTGAGCTCCTTCCTTATAGTTTTCCGGGTAAGGCTGGTAGTAGTAATTGCATCTGAATGTGTGTGCGCAATTGGCCAACAACATCTACAACAAATAATTTAATAAAATAAAATCAGATACACATTAGTTGCTAACTGAAAATACATGTAAGAATGAAGAAGTAACCTGAAAGGATAACAACATGACCCAATTTGCCTGCCATCTGACTTGCATTTAGGAAACTGAATTTGAAGGTTGGAATTGCATGAACTTCAGGAACATGATGAACAGTTGTCTTCCTACTAAATTGTATCAAATATGGATTCCCAATAGGTCGATATTTCAGTCCAGTTGTATTGATATCGAAGTTCTTGATAATGTAAACATGGTTCTCCTTCAGCAACTTCTTAAACTTTTTTATCAACACAGGAGGGATTTGTACCCAGATATCATTGCCCTTCAAAATGGAAACGAAAACTAAATTTAAAAAACAGCACTCATTTTGGAACAGAATCTTCATATGCCATGAAAGAAGTGATTACCTTTGAATCCATCAGAATGAGGTCCAAATGGAGAACTTTGTCTGTATGTACATTCACCCCAAGCCACATTCTAGAGACACGACATTGACCTGACCAAATCTTCTTCTCCGACTCAAGGTCACGAATGCTCTGGGAATCCATTCTAGAGACTCAGCAACAAAAAAGGAGGTTATTGAAGAGCTACTGGATTGCATCAAATCAGTAGATACAGTTACAAAAATTGAACGCGAATTGATACCTGGGAGAAAAACAAATGAGCAAAGAAAATTGTCAACTGCTGTCTCTAAGCTGATATATATATTTCCCGAAGACAGTAGTAGTTACTTCAACTTTGGAAAAGCCACGTCAGCCACGCATAGCTACATTTTAGGAATGGAGAGAAGCTGCACACACTCGGACGATTCCCGCGGAAGATTATTGTTGAATGGAGATAACTGTAACTCTGGGCAACTGTGACCTTCATTTTGTAAATATAACTCACAAAATTTTAGAGGGCCTTCTAACTTGGTCTCTTCTATGCAGCTAATTCTGACTCCTGGATTTCCCAATTTCAGACCCCGTTCCAGCTGAGAGCTAATCATCTTCACCTCAATGCTAAACTTGATATGTATTTGGGCGAGATTGGTAAACTGATTAATAGAATGGTGCAAATAATTGGAATTTGGTTGGAGATGGAAAGAGGAAGGTGATTTCACCGGCGGCACCAAGCAAAGTGGAATCTACCGCAAATACAAAAATGGAGCTAGGGTTCCCTATGGCTTCACCGCCAGTTAATTGTATTCCATGTTTCTGGCCCTTGAATTTTGTGTGGGCTTTCAATATGGGCCAGAGGTGACTAATCTTCAAATTGGGAATGGCAACAAAATAGAAGCCCATTTCTATATCAGATTGTGATCAAATAAAAGCCCTAGCGAACAATAGTAAATATCAAATGTAAATCAAAATAGATCCTAATTAGAACTAATGATACTAAATTGGAATAAGACTCCACTGTTCTCACTTCCAAATAAATTAATACCAAACAAATACCAAATGATCCATTTGTTCTCCTGGGAATAATAACTGTTAATAAAACATAAAGATCACTACTACTATTTTAAACAGTAGACATGGGTAGAGTTGCTTAAATAAACAGGAAGCAAGTTTGAGATTTACAACCAAAGAGAAGCAAAGCTGTATTACAAAGGAATAAATATAGCAAATTAATCTCATGTCTGATCACGCAAACCACAGTGCAACTTGTAAGTTCAATAAAAAATTTCTGGGAATACTATGTTTAGCATCGAGTTCGGGTCTTCATCATTATCATTCTCAATCAAGATTTTGAGACCTTGCCTTGTTGTAACTCTGGACAATGTAACATAGAGTTGGCCATGACATAAGCCAACATGATCGAGTGTTTGTCCCTGACTTTTATTAATAGTCATGCCAAAACATAGAGCAATAGGATATTGTCTTCTAAGGAGAGTAAAATTAAGACTTTTGTAATATGTTGACAATGTAAGTCTAGGGAGAAACACACGATCACCTACATTGGTACCGGTCAAGACCTCCACCTCAATGAACCATTTTCCCAAAGTCTTAACAATCATTCTGGTACCATTGCAGAGCCCAACTGTTTGATCCATATTCCGCATCAAAATTACTGGACATCCTACTTTAAGTTTCAGTTCATAATCAGGAAAGTTACCAACCTTCAATGTATTCAGAAACTCAGTAGTATAATCAACATCCACCACACCCTCCTTTCCAGGATCCACTTCAATTGAATCTGAGCTAAAATATGTGACCTCATATCCTGGAAATTTTTCTAAAATAAATTCATTGATTGTAGAAACCATATCATGGTGTGGTGCCAAAATAGTTCGCCTGACCAAATAATTATGATCCGAATAATGACTCAAAAGATCACCATAAATTGAACCCACAATATCAGTAACAGGATCTGATTGGCGAGGTACTAATAACTCATGCGGAATAGAAATAGACTCACCAAAAACATCTGAATCAACCCCATCACCAATTTGCAAAAGCCAATTCTGGAAATCAGCAATTGCTAGCATTTCTTCTGGACATTGATTGCCACGTGCTAGCCTCATATTTTGAATCAATTTGATTACCTTCAAATGCTGCCACAAATAAGACCTTTAATAGATGAGTTGACAGAATCAGCTCGTGTACCTTTCAATACTATAGGCAGGGTTTGCCTGAAATCCCCTCCGAAAACAATTGTCAGACCTCCAAATGGTTTCTCATCACTATTTTGATATCGGAAACGTAATATATCTCGTAATGATTTATCCACAGCTTCCACCACATGTTTATGAGACATGACAACTTCATCCCAAATAATCAAAGAAGCACGTTGGATTAACTCTACCAACTCACCTCCCTGTTCAATATGACAGGTTGATCGCGCATCAATATCAACTGGAATATGAAATCGGGAATGAGCTGTTGTCCCACCATCCATCAAAAGGGCTGCAATACCAGAAGAAGCAACACATAAAACCACCTTCTGCTCTGAACGCAATTTCAAACAAATGACCTGCCACAAAAAGGTCTTTCCCGTTCCACCACAACCATTAATGAAAAATGACTTTCCTTGGTCACCATACACTGAAGCCATAATTTATCATAGGCTACTCTTTGTTGGTCATTTAATTTGGAAATCATACTATCAAATTTATAACGAAGATCTGTGGCATTATAGTTAAGCTCTGCAGCGATCAATCTATTAGATGAAGATTGCAACATATCAAAACTGGGAACTGGTAATCCTGGAAAGTCTGAAATGGTTTTGCAATTCCTGGAGAGCAATTTATCAATTTCAAACAAGCAACATTCTTTCAACTGAGACTCAGTCATCTCCAATATAGGCATATTAAGTTGCTTCCGACGGGAGTACAAAATATCATCGGACAATATTGTCCAATTTCTTTCCCATAATCTGCCAATATCTGAAACTTGACATAAGGTTGTTATAGTGACAAATAAATCTCTAAGCTTCTGACCTGATGCCCAAAGAGATGCTTCAGCTAAACAGTCATTCCATTCATTATCTTCTGCCAATAACCCATGAGCATAACATGCCTCCTTGAAAGATTTATGTATAACTCCATTCATGGTCCTGATATCCTCAAAACTAACTGATCCACGAACAATGTGTAGGAGCATACGCAGGTAGAAATTTGTCATTTGTTGGTGAAGGATGACAATAGTATAACCGACCAATTGAGAATTTGGACTTCCTTCTGTGCCATTCTCGTTTTGTTTGATCCCAAACATAGAACTGGGGAAATTCTACAAAAGTGTACTGCCTTGCTTCTGGAGATGATTGATTCATTTTCATCCAGGTCAATAACATAGAGGTCTGAGCTCGTTTAGATCGAAGTAACCCTTGAGGATTCTGGTTTTAGCTTTGAGACAACAACGTTCTGACCCAGAAGATGATATGACATACGTAATACAGATGGATATTGTGAGTAGACATCAAACTTGAATAACCTCAACATGCTTCACCAGATGTTATATAACGACAGTCTAAAAATGACTTGATCTCATCGATACGTGGAGTACGATCAGAACTTGAAGCACTCGAATCACCACCTGTAGTACTTTGAGTTCCAACTAATGATGCTTTGGCTCTATCTTGTGGTTTATTTATATATTTGAAGAGATATTTGATTGCCCTGCAATCAAAAGACAATAATGAAATATCACATATCAACATGAATGTGAATTTTCCTCAATCATCAATACATAATTGCCTGCATTCTAATTTTATTAATTAGAAAATTTAAATAAAACTATGTTATATTCAAACGTATACCTACAAAAAAATCATGCATAGGATTTTTCAATAATTGATTAGCAATTTATACAAAATAACCCAACGTAATTATAAGAACATAAAGAACAACACGAAGCACATCTGAAAATTAAAATCATTCAGCACATACCTCGATTTATTACAGAATTCAACATTAATATGTGCATCGAAGCACAATAATAAATAGCGATTATACGGAACAACGAAACGGTTATCCAGAGCCACAGAGTGGATATTGAAAGATATCCCAGTATCACGTCGTCGATATTTCGCAAAACCATTATCATCAATTGTGGTTTGCTCACAAAACTGCTTTGGGAAATGTTTCGTACACCCCCCCCCTTGAGTGCAAGGAGCATTACGGCCCAAAGCACCACATGGACCATGCAACATAAATGCAGTTATAGCTCGATAAACTTCTAGATCTAGATCACGATTAGGTATCTCTGCTGATATTACAGAATCTATTTCCTTGGGACCACTTAGTTTATATTCCGCAGCTAGGAAAACTAACAAATGAGCATGAGGAAGACCCCTCTTCTGAAACTCAATAGCCATGACATCTGTAAACAAAAAATACAATATATAAAGAACTGAAATTCATAACAAATACATGATCACTCAACTTCAATTGCACTAACAAATGATTGATAAATCTTAATTTTTCATGAAATAAATTTAGGTAAATTTTACATTATACATGGAAATTACAATAACTACAAAGAGTACTCTTTCAAAAGTTGTTGAACATGCAGAAGATTATTAAATAATAGCTTTTGATAAATATAATATGTCACTTGTAGACTAAAAAGGCAACACGTGTATCCATCTATAAGATTTGTTCTTGTGATTGCAATTGGTTTTATATATGATTGAGGAGGATATGTCTTTTTGCTAAATATATAATATGTCACTTGTACACTAAAAAGCCAACACATTATATATATGATTGCTAAAAAACGAAACCAAAAATAGTATGGCAACATGTGTGTATATATATATATATATGATTACTAAAGAACCAAATTAAAAAAGAGACTTTTGAAATCTCATCATCTACACAGGCAGAAACATAGGATGATTGAGGAATATAATAGTAAAAAAATTGAATAAATAAATAAACATATATAAAACAACTTACGTCCAGTTGTAGCCCCAAATATTTTCTTATCTCTAATCTCAGACATCAACTGATGCAATTTAAGCTTGAATACTCTAGCAAAGATATCAGATCGATTGACATCTTTCCGACCATCTGAGTTAACCAAATCCAACATAAATTGGATTTCAGGGCAATTTGCATTACAGGTAAATGTAATAAACAAATCAGGGTATACCAACCACCTACAAATAGCCATAGCATCCTGAAAATTCTCATACTTGTATCGTGGACTGCCTGTATGAGAAGCTGCAAGAATAACATGCTTGCTAGTCGAATCTAGATTAGAGTCACCACGTAAAAATGCATCCACCAAACCACTCACATAATGAGCACGCAATTTAGATTGGTTATTTCGAATCCAATCAAGACGTTCAGCTTCAACCAATGCATAAGCATTCACCACATACTGTTGAAATAACTTCCCAGTTAATAACATTGCATTTGATTGATCAAATCTGGTCTGAAGACGATATGCATAATAATCACACTAGGACAAAGTATTGTTATTCCAGAGATCTTCTTCTTCATCATCCTCATCAACACAGGGTATATCAGGATGCCAACCATCCTCACCATAAGGAAAGAGAAGAAAATACTGTAATGCCATTATTGATGGATGTCCATAATTAATTCTCTCTAATTCAGAGCTCTTATATTGAACAATAATGTCTGGCTCAAATGTATCCAGACCTGTTTCATCCACTATCAAAGCTGCAACATCATTTCCCGTTGGTAAATCATATTCTCTACCATCCTGTGCACGCTTAGCAAATAATTTGATCTTTAACTCTTCAACGGTAGCTTCAGATATTTTTTCCCGAGCCATGCGAAAGGTTTGAACCAAAACATTGTTCCTGTCAAACATTTCTTGCAAATCTCTAACAATCTCATATCGCAACGTATTTGAATGATCTTCACTTGGAAATAATTGGAGTCGATTCTGAAGCTCGGAGGTAGATTCATGAATATATAATTGTGCAAATCTGGGTGGTTAACCTTCAACTGGAAGCAAGCTGCCTATACTGTGATATATCTGACCACTTATAGAATAGACATATACACCACCACCATCATTTATACCACGATCCACTTTACCGCCAAGGGAAATGAAGCTAAATATGGCATTGTATATACGGATTGCCTTCCTAAAGTGCCGACTCATAGGAGTTGAAGATTCCAAGAGATCTTTCAAAAATCCAGGTGGATCTCGCCTAGGAGGCAATTTCACCCTACCTCGTTTGCAACATAATGGAAACACCGGATTAGCATGACTCCTAGAATGTAACGTGCTTTCTTCGACCCACATCACTGCATTACAGTATTGACAAAGGCACGGAGGTTCACCAAGACTGAAAACTTCAACGGAAGGAAGACCTACACACAAAATCTCACATAAGACTATTGAAAAATAAATAGAAAATAAAAATTGAAGAGGGAAATATGTTACATAATGCAAACCAACCATGATTACGTGTGAATCCCCTAGGTATAGCATTAATCAACCGTCTTCTCAATTAACAAATAGAACGTAGTACACGTGCTCGTTTTGACCGCAAACATAACAAACACGAAGTATAATCTGTGAGAAAAGAGGAACTACGTAATTCATCATCATCAAATCATAATCAAATAATGACAACGACAACTTTTATAAAACTTATAACTACCAATATTTAGAGGCACACGACGTTGAACAGCACGTCCCAAACGCCTATTCATAATTATACCACGTTGCTTGCGATGGAATTGAGCCAACAGTAGATCCATTCGGCGAAGTTGAACATTTAACCTATCAATCCCTGCGAAGGAAAACGTTGTGTACGATAACAAATAACATACACCACAACGATATTTTTAGAAGTAGTAGAAAACACAAATAACGGATAATTACGTTGATTAAGACGGGCTCTTTCAGCCACAATTTGTTGTTGTGGAGGATGTTTAGGTGGCCTGCAAATAGCCCTCCTAAACCCTGCAAATCAAATGATTGTGACTACCAATATATAATTTCCTCCCCTCCAAACAGCATACAAAGAATCAAATTCATATATGTCATCATCTCAATACTAACATTGACCCCTATTCTGCTGATGTCGTTTTATTGTCAAGGAAGGATCAGGAGCATCCTGCTGAAGTCGATTTATTTCTGAAGAAGAACCAGGAGTATCTTCAATACAAACCATAGATGGACAAACCGGACGACGACAACGATGAATACTGGAAAAACAAAAACCTGATACGGTATTAACCTCAACACTGACCTCATATATTCCAAAAGGCCGGACAATAAGTTCATATATTCCAAAAACCTGATTCTGTTCTTACCTTTGCTAATTCTAGATAACAAACGCAGGGACGACAACCACCGGACGACGGATACTGTAAAACCAAAAACCTGAAAAGCTATTAGCCTCGACACTCATTCCAAAAACCTGATACAGAATTAACCTTTTCCAATTCTACGTAGGGAACGCAATTATGGGCCAAGTCCAGCAATTAGAATTTACCTTCTATATTATTAGCCCATTTCACTTCATTAATCGGCCAGATAGCCCAAAATTGTTAATCAACCCACCAACTAACTTAACTTGTAACCAATTCCCGCAAATAGCCACCAATTAATGCCAGCCCAAAACGGAGCACTTCATTAAGCGGCCAGGAGAATGAAATGACAATAATGCCCCACCGTGAAGCTCTCAGAAGCCTCCAATTTTGAATCCCTGCAAAAGTAACCCATGAATCTGCTTCATAAATTATATAGATATCATTTAAATTTACAACCCTTATTTACACCTTTCTATTTTTTTCCCCTAAACAATAATTTACACCTCAATTTACTTTTCTATATAATTTACACCCCTATAATTTACGGCTCAATTTGCACCTTACTTGAATTTGCACCCTCTTGTTGCCAAACAGAACGTAAATTAAACACGCTACACGTGGCCAGATAACCTGCCCGACGACACGTCACAGCTACTTTTCACTTGAATAAAAGAACCAACAAAAAGAAAAGGAGAATCGTCTGCCAAAAATCGGGGCTTTTTATAATCCCAAACACGCCTCTTTCCATCCCTTCTTCTCTCCGTCTTTCCCATCTCCTCCTGAAATTCCAATTCCATTTCCACCCAATTTCCCTCTCGTTCTCTCCCTCGTTCGTCTCGCCCACTTCTCAGCCGCCGGCGTAAGTTTGATTCGCTCGGCGATTTCAGTTCGAATCGATCTCCTCGCCCCGCCGACATCATGAATCCTGAATAGTAAGTCGCTCCTGATTCAACCCTCAATCACCCGCTCAATATTCTTTTGTTTCTCCGGGATATCAATTGTTCTTCGCGTGTGCCTTAGAATTATGGATCTGAGGATCGATTACTATTTCCTTTGCTTACGTTTTTCTTAGATCTAGGCAGTTAAGGCTTTAGATCCGTTTCGCGCTGCTCTTTTGCTGTTTTTTGGGTGTGCGATTATTTGTTGATGAATTCATTCCTGCTGCCCCTCCTATTGTTCCTGCAGCGATTACTTGTTCAAGCTTCTGCTTATTGGAGATTCTGGTGTCGGGAAATCATGTCTACTTCTGCGATTTGCTGTGAGTTTTTTTCTCCTGCTGCTCATGAATTCAGTATCTGTTGCTCTTAGGGTTTCCAATTGCTAAGTATCGGTTACTCTTACTTGATTGCTGTTACTGGATTGTTCGGTGTCTTGTAGTTGTCACTTGAACTTAGTTAGTGCTTTCATCGGTAAAATTGTTTGCTTGATCCTTCACCATAAGTGATAAGCTAGCTGCCACTGTTTCGCTGCAGAGTCTCATAAGCTCTATGATTTGAATTGGTCGGAATTGTAATGTTTTGGCTTCGTAAGCTGTAACTCCGGTCTGAAATTTGTCGTGATGGCTCTTTATGATTTGTTAAACAGGATGACTCTTATCTGGACAGCTATATCAGTACCATCGGAGTTGACTTCGTAAGTGTGTAGTTCTGCTGGGGGTTTCCATTGTTATTGCCTGTTCTATATCTTTTCTTGGTACTGAATAAGCCATTTATGTTGTGTCTTGAAGAAAATTCGTACTGTGGAGCAAGATGGGAAGACCATTAAACTGCAAATTGTAAGTTTTGTTTTGCTCTTTTTCCTGTGGTTTCACTGTTTGAGCCGACTAATTTTAGTTGTGTTCTGGTTTGAATTTTTTCCTATTATGCAATACCCAACTTTGGGAATGTCAAATTTCAAGGAACTCATTTTAAGGATATAACCTTAGTTTAGTAACTAATTGCCACCCTCCATATACAGTGGGACACAGCAGGGCAAGAACGATTTAGGACAATCACGAGTAGTTACTACAGGGGTGCTCATGGCATCATTGTAAGTTGGGCACACTTTTATATCCTCTCTTCTGCTTTTGCTTTATCTTTTGTACCTCTCTCTGATTCGAGTAATGTGTCTTGGATAGGTTGTTTATGATGTGACGGACCAGGAGAGTTTCAACAACGTAAAACAGTGGTTGAATGAAATTGATCGCTATGCTAGTGAAAATGTGAACAAGCTTCTAGTTGGGAACAAGAGTGACCTGACTGCAAACAAAGTTGTTTCGTATGAAACAGCGAAGGTAACGTTGGCTTTAGGCATTGTTTGGTTTTCTGTACAATAAATCATGCGACGGAAACTTTGCTGAAAAAACTTTCATACCCCTTCAGGCATTCGCTGATGAAATTGGGATACCGTTCATGGAGACTAGTGCTAAAAATGCCTCCAATGTAGAGGACGCTTTCATGGCGATGTCTGCTGCAATCAAGACCAGGTACTTCTATTGCTACAACAAGTACATAAATTTCCTTATTCTTTGTTGCTGTGATCTTACAGCAGTGTTGTGACTTACTTACAGGATGGCTAGCCAACCTGCATCAAACACGGCCAGACCTCCAACCGTCCAAATCCGCGGACAACCCGTGAACCAGAAATCAGGCTGCTGCTCTTCTTGAGAAGCTTAGTAACAACAGGCTATCTGCTCGTGACGTTTAATCTCTCGTCGTATCATTGTGTGGCTTAGTTCTCTATTCTTACCGCGTTTGATATGGAAAAAGGAATTACTATTTGTTCTTTGTTTTCACCTTCCCTATTTTTCAGTTCTGTTGAAACTTTGATTCTCTGAATGTAATCTGATTTCAGGAAGGTTAAAATTACCATTTGTACAAATTAGGAAATACTGTTGAATGGCAGCTCTGTTTTGCATTCTTTGATCTCCTTTATGTTATATTGTCTCCCCAGTCCTACCGTACACTCCATGTTTAAGACAGTTTGTCAACTTTGATTAGATTATGGGTTTGTCATGAAAGTGACCTGTGTTTCAATAATTGCGTGGGAGATTCCCCAAGCTGTAAGATGCTTATCTTTGGACTGTAGATTGTGGGCATCTGAAGTAATGCTTATCCCATTTCTACTCCTTCCACTTTTGAATTGCTTTTAGGGGCGTCTTCACAAAGCCGTCTTTTTCTTTCCCTTTAAAGTTTAACCTTACTTAATCAGACTATAATTGAGATGGGATCCTTGTAGCTGGCAAATTAGGGAGACCTGGTTATGTACTTTCGATCTTTTTATATTGATTATGAGTCATTCCAGTTAAAGTTGATGCTTCTTGTTAGTACAGTCGGACGCAATAGCGATTGGGTCAAGATCAAGCAGGTTTTTTGATCAAGCTCAGCAATTTCAGTGTTCTTGTGTACCCTGTAAGCGGCCAAAAGGGCTCCATATGTACCAGCTCGACTGAGAAGATCCAACACTACAAGTACTGTGATCACGTTTAGATTGAACCTCATAATCTTTCCTTGTCCCGTCTAACAAACTCGGCTAGTTCGCCTACTTCGTGCTGCACAACCACATCCTTACTCAGGTTCACTCCAGCTTGAGCTATAGAATTCTCGACATAACCAGAATCATGGTGTCTTATGTGGCCAAGTTCTTTCTCCATTTCTGCGATTGATTTCTCTGCAGTTTCGATCCCCCCAAGCTTCATTTGCCCCGGTTATCAGTGTCAACTATGTAGGCAACCACGCTTTTCACTAATACATTTTCAAACACCTTCACCGCTCTATCCAACTCCCCACAGTCAGCATCCCCATACATCATAGCGTTCCAAGCAACAACAGCCAAGCCGGATATCGTCGTGTTCCATGAAGCTGCATCCTTGCAATGTATTCGAGTGAACAAGCCTAGTGCCGCTTCCATAGCCAGGCTGTTAACATAGCAATCCAACATTGTGTTGTAAAACTGTAACCGCGGAATTTTCACAAACACCTCCTGGGCAACGGGCATCTCTCAATTTCCCGCAGCAGCAGCAGCAGCAGCAGCATCAGGCCGCCGGATCAGCTGTAGCTGCTGATCTAGACCACCGGCAGAGACCTAGATAGACAGTCAGCTGTTTACAAGTCAAGGCTAAGTCATCTAAGCTCAGTTATTCGAGATTTTAATCAATCAAGGATTAGACAGAAGTGCCAACACAAAATATTCAGAAACACATGAAGATGTAGTAGAGCAAGAGGAAGACCGAAAAACAACAGTAGTACAACTACAAATCCCTAAATTTGACAAAACAAAACTGCTGCTAAATGCTAACCATCCAAGTTCCGAAAGACGATAAGACTCCAAGACTCCCCTAAACTTACCTGTTTTAACCAAAAATATAACAAAAAGGGGGGGATAATAAAAAAGAAAAGTGATGACAAGAGTATCAAGCTTATCCAAAGTTGCAGCAAAGGAATCACTGCCAGAAGATAGACCCAAGACAGGCATATCTAAATTTACACCCAAATTTAAACTAAGACAAGAGTTGAATTAAAATATGCGTTCTGTTCTCGAGCGTGACTCCTGATGATAACGAACCAAACCCCCTTCGACTCCACCGGACTTCTCTTCTTGCAGAAAAATCTTCACTTGCCACCCAGCGACGGGAACTGCCCTGGGTCTTCGATAGATGGGGCTGACACGTCACGGCTGTTGTAGCCTCCTCCATATCCACCGCTGGATCTACCACCACGATCACCGCGCCCACGGCCCCTGCCACGGCCACCACCCCTGTAGGGGTTCTCGCCTTCAGCTGGCTTTAGGAACTCATTTATGCTCACAGCCTGCATTTCGTATAGATTAATCATTATCAGCCAGTGTTGCACAAACGAGAGATGATAGAGCCAACACACGATACAAGGGTATGCGAGAGATGCAAGACACAAAACACATACCTTCTTAACCCTCTCTTCCCTTTCAGCAGCAGTTTCTTTTTTCTTGTCCTTGTCAGAACCCTGTGAAACCCAGAAATTTTGCATTTCAATGATTTGATTCATTCATGTTTATAGAATAGAGTGTGTGGATTTAGTTCACTCACCAGCTTGGCAAAGATTTCTACATTTTCCTTCTTGCAGGACAGCTGTTGCATGGACTCAAATTCTTTAGCATCGACCTTCCTTTCCTCGCTGGTCTTCAGTGCAAGTAAAGCCTTCCTCTTCTCCTCAAGAACCTTCTCATACTCCTCCAGTGTCATCTCCTGCTTTGGAGGATAACCACAGAACAGAGATGGAAATTATTAGAACATTAACTTGAGTAGCAATACTATGGCACTACTGATGTCACTGACACAACATAGGGAAGATAGATTTGACGAACATTAAGTTGTCTAGATGTGATTTTAATAGGTTAGAGATGCAAACTAATGGAACAACCTGAAGGTAATCAACAATTCACACCAACTCCCAAAGAGAACATAATCCACAAAACAGAGGTAAGCAGTTTATAATGAAATGACTGAAAATTCAGAAGACCACAACTTCAAAACTAGCTTCAATTTGAAAAGAATAGAAATCAATCGACCTTATCCTCCTCAGGCTCTTTCTCTTCAGTTTCATTTGCAGGACTGTCCTTGTTGGCATCAGCAGCCTCACCCTCAGCAGGTTGCTTCTCAGCAGTGGCATTTGCTTCATTCTCTACCACAGGTTCTTCAGTACCTCTATACCGAAGTAGACAAAAAACGGTATCAAACCATCACAAACAAATAGAGCATACATCTCTTGACAATAACAGAACAATAACTCACGGTGCAACATCATCTGAAGCAGTCCCCCAGTTTCCACGACCAGACCCTTCACGCTTTATCTCGCTCCTGATGCATACACATTAGACACCAGTCTTACTCGCACAATCAATCACTAAACAGACAACCCAATTACTAAATCATCAAAGCAAATACTAACCCACGGCCAGTTCCGCTGCGACGCTCAAACACCCTTCTGGGGCGCTCGCCCTCACCAGCTTCTCCATTACTATAGCCACCACGACGTCCACGGGAAGAAGGGCCGCCACCAACAATGCGAGGACCACCGTAGCTACGCCTCTCATTCGTCCTCCCAGACTCACCATCTTCAGATGGCTTGCTGTTACCATAACCAGCCTCGTAGTTGTTAGACTCCCTGTTGAAACCACCGCCACCACTTCGACCTCCACGTGCATAACGCGGCCCAGCACCACGATTCCCTCCTCCACGGCCACCTTCATTTCTCGATTCCCTCACTACTCAACATATCAAACAAACAAGTCAACAACCAAGCTAAAACAAACACAGCACGAGGCAATCTAAACCTAGCCGCACACACAACTGAGCACAGAACAGCATAAAAAACAGCAATCCACCACCGCTAACATGGAGAACCGAGCAAGGATACCAGACTCAACGCCCCGACAATCACAGCGCACAGCTCAACGCAGCTCAATAGTAAGCGAATCAAACACAGTAATAATCTCCATCCATCTAGGAGTCGAAACAAAAATCTGAATACGAACAGCTCAATAAAGCGGAAAACAAATAGGAAAATATAGTGATTCGAAGCTCCTTACCAGCTTGAGCAGGGGCAAGCGGCTTGTTAACAAGCTTGCCTTGCGGAGCTTGAGCCGCAGCAGGAGTAGCAGGAACCTTAGGCTTCTCCTTCTCGACCTTAGCGATGAGCAGCGAAGGATCGTCGTTATCGTCGTCTCCGAGGAGATCGAAGGGGTTCATGGTCGCCATTTCTGCTCTTCCGATTACTTCCGAGAAAACCTCCCCTCGCCAATCAAATTAAAGACCGTCTAGAACAGTACAGACCGCTCTATTGATTGCTGGACGCCATAGCCGAATGAAGAGAGTGTTCGGTGGGAGACGAAATGGGGAGAAACGAGAGAGAAAAATTTTGTGAGAGTTAATGTGTGGAAAACCCTAGCCACTGCGGCTGACGAGAAAATGAGAGAAGTGAAGAGTGTGGAGCGTTGGCATCCTAATCTTAAAAACCCTAGTTGGAAGAAGGTGAGAGTGTTACGCTACGGGAGGGTGCATTTTATTGTTCGGGGAACCTGCCTTGAGAGATGACAATCTGTTCGTTGATTGACCCGATGCCTGATCAAGAGGATTATTATTACGGTTTTTAACCGCGACCGCGTGATTTTGCTTTTATTACAGTGATTTGCCTCCGTTCGCGGCTGTTCGAATAAGGGAATGTACTCTTGGGTAATTATGTTGGTTTAATGAATTTGTTTCTAATTTCGGTCTAAGATAGAGTGCATAATTATGAGTAACTAAATCTAAACCCTTCTTTTAAGTGGTTGCAGATCTAAGAGTGGAGAATTAAAAAATTTATTTTGCTTAGTTTTATTGATTGGATCATATCTTCTTCATTCTAACTCGGATTTCAAAAAAAATTTTGCACAGATGGAACAAGTTTGTTGTGCTCTACAAAATGATATCCATTTTCAATATTTTTTGAGGAAAAAATATTGCATACCTCTCGTTACCAATTTCATACCATATGGTATCCCTTCATTTTTTAGTCGTTTTCGAAAAATTTTAACACATAAGGAACGATTTAATCATGATCTATTGGATTTCAAATTTTTCTCGGTGAAAAAATTTCATATCTCTCGTTACCAACTCCATACCATACTATACCACCCTGATATGGGGTGGTATTTTTCATACTATATGGTATGTTGTTATTTAATACCAGTCAATATCATATGGTACAGTCAATACCATATGGTATAGACTGGTAATAACTGGTAAATTTTTTTGTTCAAAAAAATATCGAAGTGGATATCATTTTGAAGAGCGCAATTAATTTGATCTAACAGTGCAAAAAAAATTAAATTTCGACTTAAAACGAGTGAGAAATCGTTCGTTAAAAATTAAGAAAAGAAAAATTAAAGGTTTTTCCATGAGAGAGAAGGAGGCGCTGATGTGGCGGATTCTTATTGGGTTATGCATGGGGTTATAGTACCACAAGGTTACTCACCGTATCTGCTCCCGGTAATTTCCACTTATAGGACATCCAAGTTCTAATAGGTTGATTGATTTTTTTTTTTTAAAAGAGCTTGTTTTGACTTTTGCCACAAACTCAATAGCTCTGTGAAAACTTTAAAGAGCGAAAAGACACGAAATTGACACAAAGGACAAGAAAAGAGAAAAAAAACTTCCCTATAAGTGACTCCGGGAGCGGTTATGGTCATTATTATTTCATAGTAATCACCATGGTTACTTACGTATCGTTTGATATAAATGAATTTCATAAGTTTTGAGTAATTCATTTTGAAATGAAATATTTTTGTGTCTGGTATTAAAAAGAATTCATTTTCAATTCTAAATTTTGAATTCTACGGAATTGGAACCAGTTATAGTAATTCCGAGTAATTGAGATGGAATTTCCAAATGAACTGCACAAGTATTTACTAATTATAATAGAATGACATGATTATCCTCTTTTATTAACTAAATTACTTATACATATGACTTACCAAATACATGAATTCATTTGACAATGATTCTACACGACACTTCATTTTATTTCTAAAGATTTGAATATAACATACCAAAAGTAGAATTTCATTTGACAATGAATTCTACACGGTAATTTATTTTACAATGAAATGAATTCTTGATTTATTTGGTACCAAACAGTCTGTTAGAGCAAATTGGGTATGTCAAAAAAAAATTATTAATTATTTTTTAATAAATTGCATTTTAGATAGTTACAAACAATATTAATTACAATTCTCTCTCTTTTTCTCTCACTTCTGTAATCTCCGGTCATATCTCTCTTCCTTCCTTTTCTCAAATTTTCTTTGTCTCCTTTCAATCGAAATAATACAAGTGAAAAAATAAAATAATAAGTCAATACCAATCCATTAAACAACCATTACCACTTTGAAAAACATGAATACCATTGAACAAATAAATCAATATCATTATGAAAAAAATAATATCATTGCACTAAAACTACCAATATAACAATCTATACCATTACAAGAGTCAAACCGATACCAAAATCAACCCATACCACTACTATTGTGAAATTCGAACAATACCATTGCAAAAGTAAATCAATACCATTGTGAAAAAACTATCATTATAAAAAACAAAACTATACCATTTCATCAAATAAAACAATAAACCAGTACCAAAACAATAAAAACCCAAATCTGAAATCTGCACGAAAGTGTCGGCTCCTCTCACCGGGTAGTGAGAGAGAGAGGGGAGAGAGAGAAGAGGGGATAGGGGGAGAAAGGCATGCTATGGTGGGGTAAGGAGTGGAGGGGTGGGGAAGGGAGGCGGGAGGGTGGTGGTGGTCGACTGGGAGGAGGGTTGGCGGTGGAAAGAGAGAGCTGGCGGGAGCCTGGTGGGGTGATGTGAGGAGAGGGAATGTCGAGGTTTCTATTTGGGGAGAGATGGAGATTGATGGATTTTAGTATTTTGGAAAGAGTAAGGAGATAGTAAATCATAAATATAGGTAATAATCTTATGTGTTAATATTTTTATTCCAAAATTATCCTTATCCATATGTTGGTTGTCAATTAAGGGTCCATATGTTGGTTGTCATGATGGTTACTAAAAAACTAGTATACACCCTAACCCATTCCAAGTGACTCCTGCACTGGGAAGGGATGTTTCCTCGATGTAGGATCCATGTTGACTAGTTGAGAAACTCAGTAATATGTAACAAGCAGTACATTATGAGTAAGATACCATCACATAGCCTACTAAGGGCAATTAATTTTGATATGAGCATCGCTAATTCCTTAATAGAATTTACTGAAAACAAATGAAATAATTCCATCACATGAGAAGTCGACCGAGTTAGTTGCATATCCTTGATGATTCTTTGTCACAATTAAATAAATAATTTTTGTCACAGGTTGAGGAGATGCTCGACCACAACTTCACAACACTAAATTTTCTTGCAAAGAGACCAACTACAAAAGCACCACCATGGTGCTAAAAATCTCTAACCGAAGAGATTAGAATATGCCATGAGACATAGTCGAAATCTACCGAATACACCGCACCATTTATGTGATTTCAACCCTTACACAGAGGAGTTATATGGTGAGTAATCAGTAAAAATGGTCACAAATCTTTGCATTTAGTACAATCGAGGTATGGTGACTTTGTTAATTTACATGGACGATACGATCGTAATAAAGGATGACAATTAGGGAATTCAACACCTCACAAATGGGTAGCAGTCTACTTTTCACACGAAGGAACTAGGCCTGATTTCTTGTTTTTTTTTTGTATCGAAATTGAAAGGTCAACATAGGACATTCTTATTTGGCAAAGCAATATATCGATGATCTTTTAGAAATAACACGTTTCGACGAGTGTATCCCATCCAATACACATATGGAGCTTCATTTGAAACTTGGGAAGGATACTAGGATACCTTTAGAAGATGGTAGCCACGACAAAAGTGTAGTCCATAAGTTCATATATGACGAACACGCGACCCTACATCTCATATGTTGTTCAAGTGGCTAGTATCATATACTTGACGAACACACGACCCAACCTTAAAAAAGTAAAAAAAAAAAAAACCTTTAATTTGTAATGCCTCGGTAACAAACCTTTGCATTTAAAACACAAAAGTCACAAAGTAAACAAAAGTGACCATTTCATATAAATTCAAACTTTTGTTACTGTATCATTACAAATTAAAGATTAGTGACAGTTTTGTACTAAATGAAAAAGTTCGTAACCATTTATGCTAATTACCTGTTATATGGTGGGGTGAATTTATATTTTATTTTATAGGGGTTATCTAGCTGTGGAAATGTCTGGTTCGTTTGGAAGCATATTATGTAAATGTGGCATTTAACATGTGGTATTTTCATCAAATATTATATTTATATAGGGATAAAAAAAAATATGGTAATGTGATTGTGGTTAGGGATGACAATCAACCCATGAACACGTGTATTCAACAGATCCCGACCCAATCAACGCAGGGAGTTTCCACATTAACTGGGTATTGGGCGGGTATGTGTAAAATCCGCAAAAAGTTCGATGGGTATGAAACAAGTATGGTTTTAGCCTTTCTCGTCCCACCAAGAGCACTTCTTCCTATATAAAAAAATATGTGGATCAAATTGTAAATTATCAATGACAGTGAGAGTAATTCAAGAAAATAAATAGTATAAATGCAATTGAGTGGCCACCCAATCAAAACCTAATTCTCTTCTCTCAATTCTCTCTTCTCTCTTTCACTTTTTCCACCTTGTTAACAAAATTATGTTAGTTAATTATTACTTAGTAGATGTATCAATGATTAATGATTTAGACAATTTTATATTATCTTATGAATTACTAAATGTTTTAGGATCATATTTTTTGAATCGTATTAAGAATGATAATATATTTGTTGACTTCATGGTATAGTAGGTCACTTTAGTGTTATAATTTAAAATTTACATGTAAAGCTTTGGCAAAGGCTAGCGTACGCCCGGGCGCACCCTAGCCTACCATATGCCCATTGAGTTTTGCAATTTAGACAACGAATTAACCGGAGTTTGGGGCATGATACTATACCTTAACTCCTAATGGATAAACCCCAGTCCGCAAATCACTAACCCAAAGCATAATATTCATTTAATCTTAAAATGAAAATCAATGGTTCTGATTCGTCGAAATTATTGTTGATTTTAATTTTAAGATTAAACCAATCTCATGATTTGGGTTAGAAAACTAGGGACTGGGGTTTATCCATTAGTGGTTAGGGTATAGTATCATGCCCAAAACTCTGATTAATTCATGATCTAAATAGCAAAACTCAAACAGGCGTACGGTAGTCTAACGTACGCCCGGGCGTACGCTATCCTAAACCGTAAAGCTTTAGATATAATAATGTTGGATGTACAGATGGGGTGGGTATGAGTTTGGATATTTTAATTTCAAATTGATTAAATACATATTTACAATTTCTTATTCAAAAAATAAAACCCAACATATTTTTTTCTAACCCTATGAA